TTTAAGAAAGAAGCAACTTTCTACGACATGTGGTTACCAAGATATAAGTACCCTACATTTTCAGACCTAATTTGCATATTTCAGCTAATTTGCATATGAAGATGAGCGTAAAAAAATTGGCGACTCATTTTATTCGATTCAGCATACTTCAAAGTATATAATAAAAAAAAAAACCAAAATGATCACGAAATTCCCACGGGATGACATAAGCCACCGGACTATATGGAGAAGTAATATAAAAGTTGAATAAAAGAATAAACCATAGTTGGGGCGGCGAGGCACGAAATGTTTTATGTATAGGGCATTTCTAGATGGCCGGAAATGTCATTTTCTGACCCAAAATATAAATGCATTTTTTTTTATCCCCGGTTTGTTTTGTACTGTTTAGCAAACGTGCGCGATGGCCATCTTTCGAATAAAAACTGGAATTTTTTTCCCATTAAAATGGAAAGTTTAAAAGTTCAAGATTGCTTCTGAATAATTCATTTAACCTAGAAAATGCGTATACGAACGAAAAACCGAACGCACGTAGTTTTTACAGACTTACCGTATATAGTATTGTAAATATACATGTTCACATATCTTGGTAACGGCAGCCAGAGTAACATTTTCAAATTTGGTACGATGATTACCCTTTATGAATAATCTATTATCTTGCATCTTTTTACTTATCTTAAAGATTTTTATTTTCATGAGGTTGCTTAGACATTCTACAACCTTAATTTACTGTTAAAATGAAGCCAAGAAATTTTTCAACGTTTGTTTACAACAATGTAGATATATTTGCTATAGATATGGATGAGACTTTATACACTTTTTCTACAGTATTAGTTTATCAAAATGACTCTACAAAGTTTATCTATCACGAGGCAGGTATTATTTCTCCAATGTAGGTTTACCATGAGATAGATACGTTTTTAGGGAGAAATTGCAAAACCTGCACCCATGGTTTACCATAAGATGGACTTTCACGATGGTATAAATTACCATCAGACAGCCTATCTTCAACAACCTTTGTTTACCATTATACCATGTTGTACTTGAATGTCAATAATTACCATTGCTAAGTACAGTATTGATTTAATTACATCATGGCTAACTTACGCTACCATTAACTAATTCAATAATCAACATTGTGCTGTTTTCATTCTCGATAGATCTTTGTAAAATATTGACTGTTCTTCTGTGTAAGTTGCAATAACAAATTTCAGTGCAAAAGGTCAGAATCCGATAGTGTAAAAAACAGTTGCCACAAACAAACGATAACTTAATCTGTTATACAACATTATAAAATTTAAACCGGAATTTGGTAATTATTTTAAATAGGGGCCTATATTAATTAATAAAAGAAAATAGTAATAATATAATAAGCTATTGTTTGAAGGTTTGCATGGCGAAGTATAATATATAATTATAATTAATGCTTGCGGTACACCACGTAGATAGTTCTGAAAAGAACTGTTGTTGTTGGTTGAGAATATCTTGACGTTTCGGTTGACTTGCTTCAACCGTCTTCACGAGAATAACACATTATTCTCCTGAAGACGGTTGAAGCATGTTAACCGAAACGTCGAGATATTCTCAACCAACAACAACAGTTCTTTTCAGAACTATCTACGTGGTGTACCGCAAGCATTAATTATAATTATATAATATAATAAGCAATACTAAGACATTAAAGTTTTTTTTTACTTCTTATAATTTGAATAGATCTTAAATATTCAAAAATTCTAAAGATAGGCCTACATTATACATAATGATATATACGTATGCTCTTAGGTGTCATCTGTTTACAACTATATTTGCAAACACACACCCACCCACCCACATACCCTCACAAACCTACACTCTTATATTATTGTATATGTATTCTATATAATTATGTAATGTAATAATATTTTACTTATTGACTAATAGTATTATATTATAATATTAATTAAATAACAATAATTTGTTGTTTTAGTTGCAGTAATTTCATATTCAATATCATTTTAATGTATACATATGAAAACTGTCACAGTATATAACCTAATAAACAATTTTCTTGTAGTTTGAATACAATAATTGCTGTTATGTATACGTATAAGTATGTATACGAAAATTAAGTTCGGCTGAAAACTTGTATAAAAATTACGATAATCAATGCAAGCTCGTATTGATATTTGTTTACATATTATATTGATATTGTAGCATGAACAAGTTATAACGTAGTTGTTACCTCTGATGTGTGTATATATCTATCGGCAGGTATCTCAACATATATTGGATTATAATCTACACCCTCATTAACTTGTGTCCCGATTGAACGTTTCCAATGTACTGTCGACTGCAAATGCAATGGAGATGGGTCATTAAGTTCACTGTAGGCATCGTGCTCTTTCAAACTGGGTCGATGGATAGTGTTTAGATGTGTCCAACAGCATCTGTAACAACATACGGGCAAAAGAGCAAGAGTGATTATAGTGACGAGGCTTGCAGACGTAACTATTATTACTGTTGATAGACTAGTATACCAATAAAATTCATGTGTCTTCTTCAATCCTTGAGTACTTCTAGTCTTCGACTCATTGTTTTCTGAAACTAAAGAATTGACACTTAGGCCTATCTGTGTAGTTAGCAATCTTTCCTGGAATACGAGTTCTAAACTGTATGTGCCAATTCCCACAATATTTTCTGTGCTACATGTCATTACAATGCCATTTAAATCAGGTCCTGGTTGTGTAATCCTTAAAATCTGTGAATTTTCAACAGAAAAATGAGTGTTATTAATAGATGGTTCAAATGTCCATGTGTAAGTGTGTACGGGCGGTAGTGATTTACCATGGCATATAAAAATAGCTTCCTTGTCTTCTGTTAACAACTGAGTGCCCTGGATAGAAACTTTAGGGTTTGTATATATCTGCAACGGAGATGTGCTACAATTTCTGGAAACAAAAACAGTAGAAGATGATAAACAGCATGTAAATATTGTACCTACGTCCGAAAGTTCAGGTTGGAAACTGTAAGTGAGGTGCACCACTTTTTTTTCATGATCAATATTAAATTGTCCATTAGCAAGGGTGTGTCTGTCTCGAATCCACCAAAGATCAACTAGTGGAGATGTTAACTCTGACTTGCATGTTAATGTAACTGTAGCTCCAAGTAAGTAACTTGTTTGCAAAGGGCTACATATCGGAAAGTAGTTTGCCGGGACTTCTAACACAGTTAGTGACGCAGAATTAGACTCCAAAATACTATTACTACCTTGAAAGACCGAACAGAAATATTTGTGTAAACCATCGTCACGTGATACTGGATCAATCATAAGACGGTATTGTCCGACGACTTTATCAACTGTCACTGTATAAGTAGAAAGTAGTTTAAATATACGGTTGCCGGAACTCAATTTTGTATCATCTCGCATCCAGGAAACAACTTGCGAATCATGTAAATCATCAACAATGCAAAAGAAAAACACACGGTTACCCTCTATTGTAGAAATATCCGCAGGGTTCTGAATGAATCTAACTGCGTTGATGTTTAACATGAAGCCTAGTACCAGAAATAAACTCAGGTATTTTGTAGAGTGCACATGCATTATAAAATCTGATATGTTTCGCTACTCATGTAGCCCTGTGCTTGATTGAAATCAGGTAATTGTTAACCGCAGAGAAGCGAAGCTGCCATCAAACAGCAGCCTCAGTATTCTGACATTGTGGCCAAGTAAATTTGTCGTATTGTTTATCATATTGTCTCTCTCCACCCAGGAGTACAAGTGGGTACCTGGTAGGTTCAAACACAGAATGAGCTGAATACAGCTGCATCCTTCTGTGGGAGCTGAGTATGTATTCTATATGCGCTTAATCCAATGGCCGGTGGTAATAATGTTAAGCGCATAGAGGTCTCCACAATATGCACTCTATTAGTCTATTATTATTATTATTATTATTATTATTATTA